GGCGAGGTGCCCCCGAGCGCTGCGGCCGTTTACTGGCAGGGGGAAGGAAAACCCACGTCCGGGGTGCGAGCTTGCAGGGCCGGGCTGGGCAGGCACAGGCTCAAGGGAAAGAAAAAAGCTCCAAAGTAGGCCTCACCCGAGTCCCTGTGCTTGCAAGAGAGCGGGGCCAGGATGCCCCTTGCCTGCACCATGGGATGGAGCATCTGCCCTGGCCCGCAGCCAGGGTAGACCCCACCAGCTGCACACCAACACTGAAGGGGAAATGGCACATCAAACCAGTAGCTGCTGACAGCAAGTGGGGTATCTGTGTGCGTATACAAGCTATCTTGCACACTCCTGTAAGTGTGCAAGCACCTCATCAGCGCAGACCGGCAGCAGGGCCAACCTGCCACTGCCCTCAGCTCAGTTGAGGGTCTGTATGGAGAGCAACACTCCAGCAACACACAACAGAGGAAAATTCACCATTTTGAGTGGAAGCTTCTCTTGGTTCCTGTTGCTTCATGAATAGGGACAGGGGAGAGCCCTCATCAGAGCAGCTCCCGTCTTCTCTATACCTTTATCTGAGCTGAGGTCAAGTCTCCTAACAGCACAGGAAGTGTCTTCTTCAGGAAAGGAACCTGACTGCCAGGGGCCAAATCACAGCACTAGCTGAAGCAAAGTAACAGGTCCATAAAAAACCCAAACACCCATACATAGGAAGACTGATGCCTTTCAGCAGACATCATTTAACACCAGAAAGAGGCAATAAAAACCATCTCAACACCAACCTGTCACCTCAGGTTATGTGAGCGTGTTGAAAAGCCTTTCAGTGCAATCACATTATAATTAGCCGATTTGGGTCTTAACCTGTTTGGAAATAAACCTCCCTCTCAGTGCGATTTGCCTGCCAACAGATGTTTATCACATTTCTCCTAACTATTCCAGAACTATTCTTACTCCATCTTGCCTCCTTTCTAAAAGCCCCAAGGAAAACTCTAATCTCACAGCTTTTAATATAAAACAAGAGCACTTTTGGTGCTGATACACACCTGTGTCTTTGGTTAGACACATCTGCCCTACTTGCCCCTTCTGCTTTAAAACCATTTTTCCAGCATGCCAAAGTACTGAAGTTTGTACCAGTACAGTAAGGCAACAACTAATAAAATCTTAACCTTGTAAACCAACTATAGTAACAGCACCTAAAGATGTCAGGGTACTAATGTTAGTCTTAGAAACTCCTTTAATTAGCTACAGCCTTTGGAACAAGTTTTAGCATAACCCAAGCTGAGAAGAAAGAAAAGTTTCGTACTTGAAGTTACATGAGTCAGCTGCAACATTTATCCATTTTGAGAATATTGACAAAATTATTTTAATGACTTGGGACACTATGAAGGGAGTTCTTGGCAGGGTACAGCTCCTTTCACTCTGTGTTATCCGGGATCACAGCCATCTGACATCATCAAACCCAGGGAGCACCAACACCACTACTGTGCATTTGTAGGCAGTTGACCCAACTCCAGCTCGCTGCTGCCGAGAAGGCAGGTCTTTCCATCAACTCATTTTTTTGTGATCTGTTTCTTGGCTGACCATACTGCCTGACCAGCTTCAGAGCTAGGCACAGTGTGAACAGACAGCATACAGTCAGGACGATGAATATGCACACATCTCAAGAGCCACAGCCTGGGCAGACTCCACAAGTCATCTTAGAAACCTCTTCAAATGGCATCCTCACTGCTCCCAGGAAGTCTGCAGGCTCAGTAATTATTTCTCCTCTTTTCTTAGTATGGTGGTGGAGCTCACTTTTTGGAAAAATAGTTACTGGTAAAAACAGACACCCACTTCTCGTCAGATACTGAGAGTAGTTCCAAAATTCACAGTTGGGGTGAGGAATACCACTGCATCCACAGGTAATGCAAGAATTATCCCATGTGTGTTTAAAAGCACTCCTGGGTAGCATTACATGCACATTTACAGTTATCTCTACACAACAGAACAAAACAAAGCAGCAAAAGGAGCCCATTTCCTTCCAATTTTACAATTGCTATTTACATTACCCCTACAGCCTCAAGTGATAAAGCAACAGACCTTTGGTTCAAGTTTCAATGCCAGAGGTGTAAATTGCTACTCTAAAACCTAATTCTGGAAGCCATTAAAGGTCTATCCTACCTGGGCCCTGGAGCTCTGCTTGCATCAGATCTCTAACTGTTGACCTAGGAAGCACCTAACAAACAAGCAGAATACAGCAACTGCAGCTTTCTTCCAGGAGATCCAGATATAGCAATATGTAACTGTCTGGTGGATACAGCACTCACTTCAAGAAGTCAGACTATTGCCCCCACCCTCAGACTCAAGTAGCAGTAACCACAGCACATACTATAAAAAAAAAAAATCTACCTTAGGCCTATACTAGATCTCCTCTTCTTCATCTGACAATCTTTCTTCTAGTCTTTAGTTTTAGTCTTCTTTTGTTTGCTTTTCTTTTTCAGATTCCTAACTTTCTTCTGAGCCAAGTCCTCTGATGACTTCATGCACAGCTGTTGCCATGAAGAAAAATACCCTGCATTGCTCAAAGTTACTCCAACGCCTCTACATGACTGTGAGACAGAGCTGGGAGCCCTATTTAACTACACCTCCTTCCAAATCTGCTTGATTCAACTGTCTGCAGGCAGCATAGAACACAACATCCCAACTTACGGTGTTTGTTGCACCAAAACCTAATTCTGCATTATACAAGTTGTGAGAAGCAGATCCTACCAGCTTTGACTAGCACGTGGAATGAAAAGACACAAGAAAAGTGGAGCTTTCATTTATTGGGCTGGACCTACAAATTGATTCACTTTGACTTCTGGCTCTGTGCTTGTGCCTTCAACACTTTTACAACGATCTTCTGCTCCTCAATAAGAAAAGCTCGTTTGATTCTGGAAAGGAAAAACAACAACTTTAGAACATGTATCCACTTAAGTGAAAACACAAAAATAAGACAAAATTACAACTAGTTTTGCTGTCTCCAACATACATTGCACATGTGGTGTTAGTTCCACAATTACATAAAGAGAGAAACCATCAATGCTCTCATCACCATCAAAAGACAGGGACAGGGGCACTGGAGAAATGTAGAGGTTTAGGAAGAAGGCCTAGTGTGCCTGCAAGTTTAGGGTGAGTGGCTTGTAGGCAGGCTAGGCAATACCCGATGGCTGCACACTGGAAAAATTACCACCTTCACTAACTTCAAAGGCAAAAAGCAAAACCCCTCACAGGCAAACTACTAGCTGTTCTTCGAGTCAGAACTGGTGTGGCCAGTTCTCTTCCTTAGAACTACAGAAAACTTTATGTGAGCCCAGTTATCAAAACAAGAGCAGCTCCCCTTTCAGGATTAAAGCTTCTTTACACATAAACAGAGAAAATCCTGCAAGGTCAAGTCATGCCTAGATACGATTATTTCTGGAAGACATACAGGGCCACCATGCAGGTGGACCTACGTGATAGTACTCAAACATCAACAGCCCATTTGATGATTTCAAGTTAAAAGCACAAACAGAACACACACTCTTCTACCTTGAAACATTAAAATGCCATTCCATATGCATTTGGTATCTATGGCTACTGTCACAGTACACAAAATCTACCAAAGATGCATAAACAGATGCAGGAGAAAACCTGCCAATTACACGGAAGAAAGTGACTGTGCTTTTTCTTTTAGGCAGAATAAGGTATACTCATGTATAAAAAACAACCTACCAAGCTCATAAAGTGTTTGGGAAAACACTCCAAAAAATCAGCTTTTAACACAGAAAAGCTATGCTACAGATCTGCAGCTGTAACAACCTGTCTTCAGTGGCACCTAATGCTATTTAAACTTAGAACTCACACAAGGAAAAATGGGAAAAAAAAAAGCTGGCAAGATTTGCACTACAGATAAAAAAAGGGCATTAGGTTGCTAACTCTGTAGATCTGCTTTGATTACCATTCATAGAGAACACATTCTCTGTAATACACATCTTTCCCTCAAACTTGCCACAGAAGTATAGGATGTACAGTTAGAAGTATAGGATGTACAGTTGTCACCCAATAAAACTGAATTCAGTGAGGCCCATCAAAGGCCATCTTAAAGCTTAACCACAATAAAGATGCTTAATATGCAATAAACTAATCTCTTTTAATCCCAAAACACCACCAAGAAGCCAAAAGCTCAGCTGATCTTAGGACAACAGAAGAGAAAAAATCTTTACTATGGAGGCACAAAATAAAATGTAAAGTATAAAAATCCAGAATGAGCAGACCGTTTAGCACCAAGGCAACAGTGCAGTAAGATATCATAAAAACATGAACTCTCTACAAGGAGCTCCACATGCAGTAACTAGCTCAAATCCAAGGGACAAAAATCATACACATCACTGCTAATGTGCCCCATGCTTACACCCATTTTGCTACACTAATGTCAGCCAAGAGTCTTCAACGTTTTGGTCCACATTATGAAAACACAGTGAGATGTAATAATCGAGAATAGAGTTAACTTTCTGTAAGCTTACCTGTCACGGACACACTTAGCACACATGGAACCACCATAGGCTCTGCTAACATGCTTCTTTGTTTTTGACAGCCTCATAAGAACTTTAGGACGCACGGCACGAACCTACAGAAAACAGGAATGAGAAGTGTATCATAAGACAGTAATTTTGGACAATAATTGTAGCAAGAAAATTCACTTTGATAGCCTAAAAAAGCAGGGACACCTGAAGGTGACTATTCAAGATGCAAGAAAATGACTTAAGTCACAGCTTGTATGTGCCATCTTCAGCACTCCTAAGCTGATATTTTCATTCTAGCACAGGGGTTCACCAATAGATTAATTAAAAAAATTGTTTATAAAAAAGATTGTTTTCCCAAGGGTAGGACCTGCTCCAAGTTTGACATTAATCAAGCATTCCCATCACTGTTCAGTGCGATGGCATTACACCAAGAAAACATTTTGGAGAAAAATATCATGTTAAAAACATTCATTCCTTTTCAGTAAAACTGAAAATCAATCTTGGCTTGTGGGTTTTTTTAAAGCCTACCAATAGGTCCAGTTTAGACTTTTAAACCTGCTACAGAACCACCTTGGACTATCTCTAAAAAATTCAGCCAGTTACATCTTATAAAACAAGAGGGTTCAGCTGTAACACCAATGAGAATGACAAGCATTAAGAAAAAACCCCACTTACTCTTTAAACTTTCAAAGCTTCTTCTACCAGTTAAACTTCACAACATTCAGCTAAGAATATTTTAAAGAAAGCAGCCATTCCAAGAAGAATACATCAATAAACAGGCATATTATATTACTTGAAAAGGCTCCTTGTACTGAAAAAACATTGCTGTAAAAAAAAAACCCCACAATCTTATGCCAGTAAGGCTAACACTTACACCACGAAGTCTTCCTGGGCATATACCACATGCCGACTTTGGTGCCTTCCCCACTTTCTTGGTGTAAAGGTAAACAATCCTGTTCCCGGGTGTTCGGGACCTGAGTACAGCAGAAAAATACACTGTTAATGTAACAATTAAAACTTAAGCTTAGCTTTCTTAAAAAATAAGTTTTCTTAGAAACTATGTCTTACTTACAGTCTGGTCTTGTTGGAAGCTGTGTTGTAGGACAACCTACGGCGGTAGGTCAGGCGCTGAACCATTTTTTACACCTAAATTAGTCAAAAACAAAGCAGCACTAGTTTAAGGGCTCAATTTCCTCGTGGGATTTCACATATCACAGCATCAACTGCACTGAAGCACTGCACCAGATCTGCTGATTCAGTATGAACAAAATTAAAGCGTTTCTCATCAACACAACCACATTAAAAAACAACAAAACCCGCGATGGCGGGTAGAACGTGATCTGCGACGAAGATTCATCCGAACTAAGGGCGCCGGCAGTTTTCGGGACCCCTCAGGGCATCCCCCCGACGCCGGGGATAGCACTCCTCGGGAGCTGGGCTGGAGGAGGCGGGGCCCAACGCCGCAGGCTCGCTGCCGCCCGGGAGACGAGGGCGCCTCTCGGGAGCCCC